GTATGGATTCTGATGAGTTATATGACTCCTTAATAAAGCAAAAAAAAAAAAAAAAGAAGTGAGGACAGTAAGACTTCGTCTCACATACTTTGGACCTGTTGTTAGGAGAGAGGATTCCATGGAAAAGGAAATCAAGCTTGGTACAGGGAAGGCTAAGTGAAAAACAAGATCTTTGAGGAAATGGATTGACACAGTGGTTGCAGCCAAACAACACTTGTGAGGCCAGCACAGGACTGGTCAGGGTTTCATTCTGTGGTCCACAGGGTTGCTATGAGTTGGAACCAACTCAACAGCACCTGACAACAATAGGCTCGCCTTCACTATCCCCAGAGGCCCTGGTGTTTCGAGTGTATCTATAAGCTTTTACCCACTGGCACCATCTCCAACCAAGGAGCCTGTCCGTCTGTCTTCAGAGCTGGCCTTGGGTCTTCTCGCCCTCTCTTGTGTCCCCTTGGCTTTGCCTGGCTATCTGGGCAGAGGAACCCCCATGGGGCTTGGCCTTTAGGGCTTGGCCTCTTACAATGACCTTGCAGGAACAGAGCTTCCTGTACTGGGAGACCAGGGGGTGTCTCCACCTGGAATTCATGCTTCTTCCATGTACATTGGGCACCTGTGTTTTGGTATTCCAATTCCCAGGGGCTAAGCTTTCTTCATTTACTGAAAGAAGTGCTGCTTGGACAGCCTTCTCTAAGCACAGCTAACACTGCCTTCCTTTGCATTCATGTACAAGCATTTCATATACAGGCTACGTCTTATGATTGCACCCTGGAACAGTGACTTTACACATCATCTGTTCTTTCTCTAGTTGTCTATAGCTCCTTCAGAAAAGGGGCTGTTTCTTATTCACATCTGCATTTTCTGTGCCTCATGTGACATTTGACCCTTAGAGTTTGTTACCCAGTCAATGCAATTTATTGTAAAGAGAGTGAGTTGGTAAATAAATAGGGGAGTCAAGGAGAGGATGAATGGGTGCCGGGAGGGAATGGGTAAAAAGTAGATGATGAAGGACGAGAGTGAATGAGTGAGGATATGAGTGGTACTGAGAGGGCCGGCTGCTTCTAGAACTCACTCTCCACTTTTCCCTTGGTCACGGATCCCTGGTTTTCAGTTGGGCCTACTGCCATCCAGCAAAAAGAGTGCCTCTCCCATGCTCTGCTGCGACCGGGATGGCCACGTGGTTAAGTTCTGTGCAGTAAAATGTGAGTAGCACTGCATAGGAGACTTCAAAGAAAAATTATCTTTTAAAAGTGTGTTCCCCCTGAAAACCCTTGGGTTTTTTCCCTCAATTCCTTGTTTCTGGCCTGGAAAACATGTGATGGTCAGAGCTCGGCAGCCAGGGTGCACTATGAGGAGACCTCCAGGAATAAAGCCAGCCTGGGGCCGTCATGCAGGTTCTGGTGGATCAGGGAGCTGCTTGAACTCCTCTGAGTGCCATCCTCTACTTTGTTTCTAACGTAAGAGAGGAGGACATTTCCATCCCCTGTGTTATGTGCTCTGTCTGTTCCAGCACACAAAGTTGAACCTGATTCTAACCAACTTGCGCAGATTCAGATGAGTGCTGGAGCCAGGTCTCCTTTCTCCCAGCCCAGCCTTCTTTCCGACATCAAGTGTATATCACTATTTGATTCTCAACACTTGCCTGGAAATCAGCAGATGACTTCCAAAGCCAACCCAGTCATAGACTCCGGGCACAACACAGTTTTTTTTTATATACAGATCATTTTATCAGGGGCTCTTACAGCTCTTAGAACAATCCATACATCAATTATATCAAGCATATTTGTACGTATGTTGACATCATTATTTTCTAAACATTTACTTTCTATTTGAGCCCTTGGTATCAGCTCCTCTTTTTTCCCTCCTTTCCATCCTCCCACTCTCGTGACCCCTTGATAAATTATAAATTATTATTTTCCTATCTTACACTAACTGCTGTCTCCCTTCCCCCACGGGTTTGGTTGTTCGCCCCACCCCCGGGTTGTGGGGTGGTGGTTATATAGCACACAGTTTTAAAAGACAAGCAAAGTGAGGGAGGGATCCTTGATGCATGCTCAAACCTACCACGCTGTCAGTGAGCACAATACTCAAGCTCAGATTGAATGCAAGTCCCCAGGGCTCTAAGACACACAGCTCGGGCAATCCTTCTAATACTGTGGATCACAGAGCACACACAGACTTGGTGGCTTCTGGATTTCATCAGTGAAGCATCTATTCTTTTCCCAAGTGGGGCATGGCAGGATTAGGGTCTTACCTCCATCAAAGAATGCCAGTGTGCGATGGGCTTGCGAGGATACGACAGCATTTCACTCCAATGGTCTCTGCCCAGCCTCTCAGCCTCGTTGCCTACTTGACACACGCCGATGATCTCATTGTGACCTACACTGTGAAAATGGTCCACAATAGGTTTTTCTTCAAGTTTTGGTATGTAAGCACAAAAACCACTCAATTAAACTGATAAAACAAGTAGGGAGGGGTGGCTTTTTTCATCCCCTAACTACTGGCTTAATCAAGCCAATATTGTACTTGGGGTTCCAGAAAAGAAGCGCCGAGTCTGGTCCTAGCATAGCCTGACTTTCATAACACCATTTCCAGGGACCCCTTCAACAAAGGACCTTGTGATGCAAACGAAGATTCTGCATGCTGTTCTTCTAAAACTAGGCTGGCCGCTGGGCCTTCAACTCCGGTGTAATGGACACAGGGGCTGTCTGAAAGAGTTTGGTGCACTAATGGATACTCAAGTTTCCATAAGAGGCAACGGAGAATGAGTCAGGAAGCAGCCTTGTACCTGTACTCTTCAGCTTACAAAGAGAGCAGAGGGAGGGAGTCCTGGCTCTTCTTGAACCTCCTCTCTTTAGAAAGCACGTGGTGAGTTCCTTATCTCCCTTCTTCCTGCTAAGTCTAGGTTAGGTTCTTTAACCCAATATGATTTTCCAATTGTAGAATGATACTTAAGAGTCTTTATCCTAAGGGACTAATATTCTGAAACTTTTCCCGAGTGGAACTTTTCCCTTGGCCAACTGTTTATGTCGATCTTTGGCGAAAAGCCATCTCACAGACTCAGTTTTCCTTCCTTCCTTCCTTCCTTCCTTTTTTTCTCCTTCCTGTATACATGAGTGATTTTATTCTCCTTCAATTTTTGTGTAAGGAGGGAGCTTGAAGGACATTTCACTCTCTGCTCATTAAAATCCCTTACATGCAGAAGCCCCATGAATTCTGCCATGGATTTTTCCAGGCTAGATTCATGAGTTTACTGAGAATTAGATTGAAGCAGAGCTCACATAATCAGATTTGTTGATGAGGGAAATTTGGCAACAGCTTGAAAAATGCTGGCGTACTCTTCCATGGTTGGTAGGCGATGTCCCCTCCTGTGGCCTGGCATTCTCAATGGAGCGTGCTAGTTGGAAAAGACAGGACAAGGTCTACTGACCAGTGTGGGCTGTCACCCCCGTGGATAGCTGAGCCAAGCCACAAGCTCCTTGGGCTGAAAGATGGTCATGTTTTACCCAGACATTTGCTGGAGACAGTGATTGGGGCACTGAAGTTGCCTTAATGACAATGTTTCAGAGGGACATGGGTGCATCTTTTTAGAGCTAAAAATAGTATTTGTAAAATCATATTAGAAGCCAGAATGATTTTTCATTTTTGTGCCCAGACCACGTGGGAGGATTCCAATTAAAAACAGACTTTGCATTTCAGTCTAATGACTGGTTTAACATGTATAATTCCCCGTTGGTACTTCTGTTGCATATTAAAATGACTGTTTTTCAAATCTATCCTTTAAATACACAATTGGCTACAATGCAGGCTATAAATATCTCTTCTGTGCTGTATTAATTAAAAAGTCGGGCATCTTATACATTTTAATGCACCCTGCCATCCATACTGATTCTAGAATTTCCAAGAGAACATTTCTGTGTTTGCTTTCAGACTTAAGTGGATGGAAATGATCTTTATTAAACACTTAGGCAGGAGTTATGAATTTAAAAATGTTGATGGTTGAGCTAAAGTAATCATTCTGCTGTTTTGAGTGGAATCTTTCCAATGAAGGACAGGCAGGATTGCCTGGGAGAAGAAGATAAGACCGGTGGGGCCACAGGTCAGGCTGGGGTTCTGGGAGGTGTACAAAGAGTGAAAGGTGGAGCGTGGGGTCACAGGTGATGGAGAAGGAGAAAGAAAGGAAAACAGGGAGGGAAGGAGCGGAAGAACAGAGAGGTACTTGGATAGTCAGACTCTGCAGTGTGGTCCCGAAAACAGTGACTTCTTAGAAATCTACTTTTGGCACATTCCTCATGGGGCGCCTCTCCTGCAGCCTCGGACACTGGTTAGAAGCTGTAGCCTGCACACCCCTCTGCCCTTCCCCCTCTGGGCCCCGCTGACTTGTATTAAGAAAGAGCGGTGGGAATCTCACCGGTCGTAGTCCATGACAGCTATGGACAGATGGATTTGGTCAATGTTCTCAGGAGGGACGTCAAAGACTATGGCTTCATTGTAAACAGGATTCAGCGTGTTTCTCTTGGTGGATGTTTTCCTCTTCTTCAGCCGTCTGCCATCACACATCAGTGAGACTTTCACGTAGGGATCTGGAGGGGTACCGTGAGAACAATGCAGATGTAAACCTGGAAGCTGAATTCTACAGAGCCATCCCGGTAGCACAGTTGCTATCTGAAACGTTGGAGGTTCAAACTCACTAGCCCCTCCTCGGGTGAAAGATGTGGCAGTCTGCCTCAACAATGTCAGCCTAGGAAACCCCGTGGGTCAGGTCTATGCTGTCCTACAGGGTCACCACGAGTCAGAATCAACTCCACGGCACAGGAAAACAACACAAGAGGGCAAATTCCTTTACCTGCCCGTGGACTGGAGTTGAGGAGTTTTTATTAAGGACGTGCTTGGGCAGTGACTAGAGGCAAAGAGGATTTGTTCATTCAAGAAAAAGCACAGGCCAGTATCTACTCTGGAAGTATGGCATTTAAAAGCAGCGTGCAAATAGCTGTTGCCCAATCAGGCAACAGTACAGCTAGAAATCAAAACCTGTCTGGCTGCAATAGGAAGAAACAGATAGGCATGGCCAACAGGCTGCAGGGCCCCAGCTCGGGGCCCCTCCAGGCAATCTCAGCCCTCCAAATGGGGCATTTAGGAAAGGGGCACGTGTGATTCTTTGATGGCTGGGAGGACGCCTAAGAGTAAATGAGTACAGCTTCCAACCCGAGTGCAACTGGCAGTCAGAGAGCGAAAGCGAACAGGCTTGGCCTTGGAGGATGCCGCGACTCGGACGTGACAGGGCTGGCCTCTGCTCCAGGAGGGCTCTGCTGACCGCACTGTTTTCCCCACTATCCTCCTGCTCAGTGGAGACTTCTCTCTCCACCTGCCTGGCCGTGTGCTGCCCGGACTCCAACACCACTGCTCCGGAGGGAGAATTAAAGGCCAAGGGGGTCATGCACGTCTTTTCTCTGGCTGGGAAAACACTAGCATGTAGGAAGTGGAAGACACTGCCGCTGAAGGCCTTTGATGTCCATGACTGCGAGACAGTGTACCGGTGTTCTGGGGCCCTGTATGACAGAAAACGTCTGCTTTGCTCAGGGATCAGAATACTAAACTGCCCCTTCCACCACCCAGAGTAGCCCAATGGAAGCAAAAAAGGTATCCATTCTTGCGACACCCTAAAGCCTCTCTGACCACAAAATCCTCTGTACAGCCCAGACCATCCTGTCTGTGAGTCTGCAGACATCCATCTCCTGCCTGACCTCAACGAGACTAATGAAGTCTTTTGCCTGAACTCAACTGTACATCCGAGGGGTTCTCAGACATATCACTGGAGAGGTGGTTTATATAGTTGGAGATGCAAATTAGGGCATTTCTTGTGTGTATGCTGGGGCAGGGAATGGGCAGCTAAGTTTTGTTAGAACTTAGAATTTAATTGTACATTGCCTTCAATCTTCAATCGGACCAGGCGGGTGGCTGCTTCTAGCTGAGGGAAGACTTCAGGAGATAAGGGATGTTAGTATGTACAAAAGTGTAGGTCTAGCTCACAGTTCTCTGGCTTTACCAGAAGAAGATCTATGAAAGAATAATAGTAGCAATGACAGCCAATGCTATGTAGCATTTAGCACTCCCAAACAGCTCTTCTTATTGGTTTTATTACTCTTACAACAACCCAGTGAGCCAGATACTATTATTATTCTCCTTTCACGGATGGGGAATCAGAAAGGTGAAGTAATTTGCCCAAAGTCACACCGGTGTCAGGTGGTAGGGCTGGGAGAATATCCAGAGATTTGGCTCCAGAGGACCAAGCACTTTACTATCATACCAGACACTTCATGAGGTTCAGAATCAGATGTCTCAATTCTTACTGCCATCAGTCCCAACTCACAGAGACCCTGCAGAACTGCTCCTTTGGGTTTCTAAGGTTTTAAATCCTTACAGGAGCAGAAAGCCTCATCGTTCTCCCAGAGAGCGACCGGCGGATTCAAAGTCCTGACTTTTTAGTTAGCCACCACACAAGCACCCCACTATGCTACTAGAGCGCTTCTGAAGAAGGTGGCACTTCCAGACTCACCTGATGCTCCAGTTATGTCCATTGCCTTCAAATTCCTTGCTTTTATAACGGTAATAGTCAGCCTGCCCGCCGTGGGAAGATAGCAGAGGGAAAACATCAGCTCTCCGAGATCCACATTGTCCTGTTGAGGAAGCCCAAATGGAAAAGTTAGACAGTGCCTTCAGCCTGATATGCACGAGGATCAGCCACAGAGCAGCACTAGGGAGACCCCCTGCACCCTCTGCTCATCTCCTGAATCCTCAGAGTCTCTCCCTTCTCAACCACACGGAAAAGAAGAAAGCCCTGCATTTTCTGAAGAAAGAGTGCTGGTGGTATGGTGGCTACTGCTCAGCTGCTGAGAGGCTGCCGGTTCTAACCCACCAGTCACCCCATGGGAGAAAGATGAGGCAGTCTGCTTCCATATTCACAGGCCTGAAAACTCTATGGGTAGTTCAAGTCTGTCCGATAAGTGTTCCCATATCAGAACTGACTCAATGGCAGTTAAGTGTTTGTTTCACTTTGTTTTGTTCTGTCACCTTAAGGAAGCGCAGTCTATCTTTAAACGGCAAAGCTGAAGATGAGATCCTGGGCTTCTGCCACTATCCATCCAGCCCAGGCAGCCTCATGAACCCCTTCCCAGTGTGCACTTCCCCCATATCAAAATCCCAGTGCAGAGGACCCAGCACAGCCTTAACAGCCCCCATAAAGTCCCTCATGGGGATCCACTCTGACCCTTGCATACAACCCACATCCAGCCTCTAGGACAGAGCTATATACAGGCCACCCCCGATCTACAAACACACAGGCTCGTGTGGTGGGCAGCCTTTCACAGAGATCCATACGAACTCCCACACACGACGTGTCCGTGTGCCCAAGCAGTCTGTAATGAGATGTTAACCTAAAAGTTGTTGGTTTGAGCCCAGCCAGCAGCTCTGTGAAACAAAGGGCTAGTACACTGCTTCCTTCAAGAAAACCCAAGGGGGCACTGTCCTCTGGAACACAGGGTTGTCATGTTAGTCAGGACAACCCTGGAATTTGACCACAGTTCTCACACAGCACTGCCACAGAGCCCTTCCCCCCACCTCAACCTCCACCACCGGCCCCAAACATGTCCACCGTGGCACCTTACACAGACCTCCGTATGCGTATGTCCCCATCGACAGCCCCCACATAGGCCCCTTGTGAAAGAGGGAAACTGAGGACTAGTTGGACAGAGTCCTCTGAGGCCAGGGGAAAGTTCACACAAGCGACTTGCTCGTTAGGTGTCACTGAGCTGGTTGACTCAGAGTGAAACTGTATCAGTCTGGGTACTTTGGAGAAACAAATCCACAGCGACTCATGTATAAGAGAGAGTTTTATGTAAAGAAAGTGTGCATCACGAAAACATCCCAACCCAATGCTGCCCAAGCCCACAAGTCCAACATTAACCTATTAACCCAACACCAGTCCACAAAGTTCTCCACCTCACAAAACAGAGGCAATGATGCCGACTGCAGGAGGAAAGCTGAGTCAGTGAACGAACAAGCATCTCAGCACTAGCAGGGGTCTCCACACGGCTGCTCCAGCACCCAGGGCTGCATTGGGATAGGTCCATGTGGCTTCTCCTTGGGGATGTCTTGTAGGAAGTCAATCTTGCAAGCTGAAGCAGGGAACTGCTAAGGCAGCTGCACCCGGTGCAACCATCACAAAACAAGAGACCTGAGAACTAGAAAGGCGAGTCTCACCACCCATTTATCCCTCCGCCTTTCAATTAGCCCCACATGTGATTATTGGCCAGGCTGGCACAATTAACTAACTCAGAAACCATGTACGAGACCACCACGAAACATGGCGGCATCCTCCTTCTAACTAACCTTGCCTTTGTTTCAGCCCACTGCTGCAGCACTGGTCTGTCCACTTCAGCGAGGGTCCTTCTCTTTCCCCTGACCCTCTCGACTTGGTCCTTCAGGAACTGTTCCTACCTCATAACGTGGCCAATGTACTCAAGACAACGTTTCAACATCTTCACTCTTAATTCTAAGGAATATTTTGGCTGTACCTCTTCTAAGACAGGTTTGTTTTTGTTCTTTTTTTTACATAATCATCTTATTGGGGGCTCTGGACAACTCTTATTACAATTCATACATCAATTGTATCCAACATATTTGTACATATAATCCATCGTTCTTTTCCAGACATTTACTTTCCATTGAGCCCTCAGGACCAGCTCCTCTTTTTTCCCTCCCTCCTCCCCACCTCCCACCCCTCGTGGCCCCTGATAAGATTGTAAATTATTTTCAAATCTCACACCGACCGCTGTCTCCCTTCCCTCTGGTTTCTGTTGTTCTTCCCCCTGGATGGGGGTGTGTGGTTATGTGCCTTTCATTGCGATCAGTGGCCCCCTCCCTCTCCACCTCTTCCCCTTACCCTTTTGTTATCAATAGTCCCATTCCTGTTCCTGGGTTCCATGTGTTGTGAGTTTTATCTCTTGCCTATACCTATGTACATGCTCCCGTCTAGTCTAGATTGGGAAGCGGCACTGGGGTCATTGATAGCAGGGGGTGGGGTGAGGATGCCTCAAGGGATCAGAGATCTATTGTGTGACCCATTAGTGCTCTACTGCACCCTGATTGACTCAACCCCTCCCTGCGACCCCTCTGTGGGGGGATGTTCCATTGGCCATAAATGGGCTTTGGCCCAACCACCTCCATTCTCACCAATGCATTTTTGTTTGTTTACTGTTTGTTGTGAGTCTTCTGATGCCCATTGCCTGGTCTCAATGACACCTCATGATCACACTGGCTGGTGTGCTTCTTCCATGTTGGCTTGTTGCTTCATTGTTGGATGGCCGCTTGTTTAACTTCAAGCCTTTAAGACCCCAGACACTGTATCTCTTAATAGTCGGGCACCATGCTCTGTCTTCCCCACATCTGTTTATGCATCCATTTTGTCTTCAGCAATAGTGTAGGTGGGGTAGGATGGGCAGGTATCACTGAATGCCAATTTGTTAGAACCGAATGTTCCTGTATTGAGAGAAGGTATGAGCCAAGGCCAAAGTCCATCTGCAACTTCAGGGTATTGCCTTATAAATATATGTACAAAGGCCAATACCACTGTCATTATGGATTAATGTATTTACATAAGTGCACACCTCTGTTAATCTCCATATGTATGCCTTTGCTTCCTAGAGCTTGCCTCTGTGTCCTTTGCCTCCTCCCGCCCCACCATCACTCTCCCCCTTCTTCCACCTCTCAGTGCTTCCTCTCCACCAGCTTGGTGTTGTTCTAATCCTCACAGGATCTCTACCCTCTCCTAGATGCTGGTTCCACTTCTCTAGTTGTTCCCCTGTCCGTGATGCCTTCCACTCACCCCACCCTTCTCCCCACCTACTTTCTTCCCCCTCTACCTTTCGGGGCCATTGGCCCAATTGCCTTCTCCCTGGGGTTTCCTCCCATGGTCCAACCCATATAATTAGGCAAACCATCCATGTCCTACTCCGAGCAATAAGAAAACATACAGTTAAAGAAAGAAAAGGAAAGACAAGAGAAAAAAATATAGAAAGAAAAAGGGACCCCCCCCAAAAAAAAAACAACACCCCATACATAGATCTAGGTCTGTTTGCTCGTCCCCATGAGACCCTCTCCCTGGTCCTGTGGGAGGTCTGGGGGCTGCCCCTCCTCCCCATTCTTCCGGCTCCTCAGGGGCTCTGTGGCTCAGCTTTACTCCAATTGCTGATCTGTTATGCTCCATCCCCCCACTGTCTCCCTGCCGTGTGTCCCCATTATTGCCCCCTGTCTCCATGTGCTCCAGTCAGGGGACAACATGTCTTGAGTTGTTGGCAGTCCTCTCTGTGCCCCAGGAGCTCCATGCAGGGACCTCATCCTCCGGGCTTGGTGTGCCCATATGGAGTCCCGGCCGACTGCCCCTTTCTCTTTGTCCTTCTTGGTTTGCTTCCATCTGGGCATGGTAGGTGGGGTCTTTCCCCCACCAGAAGGTCTAGCATCCTTCTCTGTGGCACACACTTCCAGGGTGGGGTCGGGCCGGTTCTGGTTGGGACCGGCCTGTAGTCCGGTCTTTTCATGCATTCCTCCACGTGTTACGTTGCCCTCCTGGTTTGGTGCGCCATGATGGCGTCTGTATGCACGCTCCAATTCTGTTCCCCCCATGTCTTCATCTCAGGTTCTCCCAACCACTATTCTCCCTCTCCCTTCCCCCTTCTTTATGTTGGATTCACATGTACCTCCCTGGGTTTGGTCTGACCTCCCCCCCCACTGCCTATGCTTCACCCGTGTATTGTGAGATAAGTGTCTTTTCTTCTCTTCCTGCTGTGCTGATTGTACTTCCCTCAGGGGACTCATGTTATCCTTGTCATTTTGAGATTGGCTTACCCCGCTTAACATCATTCCTTCCAACTCTTCCCATGAAACGACGTGTTTTGTGTGATCGTCTGTGCTTTTTAGTGCTGCGTAGTACTCCGTTGTGTGTGTGTGCCAGAGTTTTCTAAGAAACCTACTTGTCTATCGATGGAAATTTAGGTAGTTTCCAACTCTTTGTGATTGTGAATTGAGCCACAATCAACATTGGAGCACAGATGACTGGTCGTGTATTGTTTCTTACTTCCTCTGGGTATCAGCCCAGTAAGAGATGACTGGGTCATAAGGTAGATCAATTTCCATTTTCTTTAAGTATCAACAGATCGCTTTCCACAGTGGCTGTACAAATCTACAAGACCAGCAGCAGTGGAGGAGGGTTCCTATTTCACCACACCCCCTCCAACATTTGTTGGGCTCTGATTTTTCTGATCTGGGCTAACCTCAGGGGTGTTAGATGGTATCTCATGGTTGTTTTAATTTGCGTTTCTCTTATGGCTAATGAACTGGAACACTTTCTTATGTGTTTGTTGGCCATACGGGTCTCCTCCCTAGTGAAAGTTCTTTTCAGTTCTTTTGCCCACTTCCTTAGGGGGTTAACTGTTTTCCTCTTTTTTCAGGCCATGAGGGGGTTAAGATTTTAGTAATAAGCCCTTTGTCTGATGTGTCATTACTGAAAATCCTCTCCCGGTCTGTAGGTTGCCTTGTTACTGCCTTGGTGAAGTCTTTCGAGGTGCACAGGTGTTTTATTCTTATTGAATCCCATTCGTCGATTTTCAGATCAGCTGTGTGT